CTCAAATTGACAAACGATGATGTAACTACCACAACTCTGCTAGCCGTCATCATTGTAATTGGCTGTGTCCTCTTGTCCTGGTGTCTGGCGAAAAGAAGCGAAGGGGAAATGCTGGTCGGATTATGTGGTTTGGTTGTGAGTGCTTGTCTACAGGGTTCATTGTGATTGTAAACAACTTAGAGATCAAATGAGGGGACTGGTCAGTTTTGCCATCCTGCTGTGCAGGAAAGGAGGCACCATAGGGGCAGGTTGGGGTGGGTTTTCTCTACCATCCAAAGAGAAGGGGCATCATAGGGGCAGGTTGGGATGGGATTCTCTACCATCCAAAGAGAAGGGCCAGGAATGGAGGTGGGCGCACACTGAATCTCCTTGGTCCAGGGACAGAAAATTGTGACGCGAGAGGAGAGGCGGCAGCAGCAGAGAACAAGACAGCACAGTGGCTGCCAGTCCCCAGGGCGAGTGAAGCTGAGTGCCTTTGGGACAAGGGATGTGCTGAAAGAGGAAGGGGGCCCCAGGTTTGGGGGAGCAAGGTTGGCTGACCCATGGAATTTGAGCTGAGCACCTTTGCAGAGGCTGATGGTGGAGCAGCGTGCCCTTGGGCCATGTTCAGACACCCCGAGAGCTCTGTCACATTGCCTGAGCTGAGAAGAAACCAAGGGGCCCTGTGACTTTGAGGCCCAGAATCGAAGCAGAGGCTGCCAGCAGGCATGAGTGGAAAGAGGCCGTCTTGAGGGAAGAACTGTGTCTTGGCCATTTTTTATCCTGAATTGTCATTTGTTAGCTTCCCTAATAAAGCCCACAATCATGAGTGGGGTCACTGTCGCAGGCAGCTGAGAATGATAGAGTGCTATGGGAGGGACGGTGGGCATCAGAATTGATAAGATGGTTGGAGGCGGGGAGAAATGTCCGACCCTGGCTTCAAAGGAATCGGCCTTTGCTGATGTGACATGTGAGTCCACCCCTCATGAAGACCACCCCCAGACCTTTATGATACATACTGGGAGCCCTCCTCATGTCCCCTCACCCCGTCTCCCCAAGAACCAAGCAAATCCACCGCCGTCCGGTCCATTCTCAATCATGTGCTTGTTGGGTTTCTGAGATTGCAAATCATCTTGCTCCGGAGGAACAGCTAGTTGGTTTGAACCACTGACTTCCCGGTTAGAAGCCCCACTCACAACTCACTGTTACCAGGGCTCCTTGTCTCCCCACACAACCAACCAAGTCCTGTGGATGAACACCTCTATCCGGCAGGGTTCTCAGTGGGCAGCACGCAGCAGAAACCTGAGCTGTTTTGCATTGTAAAGACTGGGAGCTAAGTGCAAGGTGTTCTCCGGGGGACTAGGGCGTAGAGCAGAAAGGGAACAGAAGACGAACATGAACTGGTGAATCCAAGTAAAGTCGAGAGTTTAGCTACCACACCAAAGTATAAACCCGTGACCTGCTGTCAGTTCCAACCCTGAGGATCATGCGTGTGTAGAGTCAAACTGGGTTCCATCATGTTTTCACGTCTGATCTTGGGTTTTTTTAAATCATTTTATTAGGGGCTCATACAACTCTTATCACAAATCCATACATACATCTATTGTGTAGAGCACATTTGTACATTCATTGCCCTCATCATTCTCAAAACATTT